AAATAGAGCTACATTTGAACATCGCGTTACGCTATCGCTAACAATTACGTAAAATCACCACAATTGCTGTATGTTCCGATTAGTTTCCCGTAATCGCCATGCGAGCCGCATCGTTGCACGCGGTACAACGCAATGTTTCGCTGTCAACCGAACCGAAACCGGAAGTTACGACCCAATACATTTGTGACACAGTACAGTGCGTAACAAAATAGTAAAATATTTCTGATCAAATGCAGAAACAAAACTGTCATATGATCCGACATCCATGTACTATAGTAAACACGATCCCTATGGCGTCGATCCCACACACGCGTTACAATTCACAATACGATACAATTGCAGTGTTCTGCAAAACTGAACAGCGGCGATTTTATGTATAAACACGCGAGAATGCGCGTTGGAGCAAAGAAAACTTTTACAAAAATGCATCTTTGATGTACAGTGTTATGTCTATACTCGAAGAAGTATTGCGCAGAGCGATACTTTTTATGCCAGAAAGAATGAAACGTATAAAAGCTACTATTATTTTTTCTTATGGTATTTGGCGATGCTTTAATATTTTAAAAGCAGCTAAATTTCGTGATACAACGAAGATATACGATCATAAATATGCATTGTACGATAAATTTGAACTCGGTATAAATGAATGCGATAATATAAATTAACTAGCTTATCTGCTGCTATTTTATTGGGAGTCGTGAAAAAATTTATTTTGAATGACAAAAGAAAGCAAATAAAAAAAAGGAAAAAACTGGACTGAAATGTGCGTAATACAATTATATTAATTTATATTTATTATTATAAAAATTATTTAATAGCTTTAAAGATAATATGGTAAAATTAATGAAATATCAGTCATATAATTTTTCTGCAGCTTCTGAACACGCGAGTATAGAAAGGATCTAAGAATTCGCAATCTTTTGATTGATGAGAGCTACGTGCCGATCTGTGTTTTCGTGAAATAAGGAATCACACGAGTGTATCTAAATTGCTGTTATACTCGTAAAACCGCGAAGCATGGCAGATTACGATACTGCATTATGAAAAAAGACGGCGGCTGCTGCAGGATTTACGAACGTTGATCGCCGGTTGTGTCATGCTGGAAATGCATATGCATTCTGGCCGCGTCTTCTCGATTTGTCAAAAGCGAAAACCGGTAAATTATTTTTTCTTTTTTGTGGTATAAATGTTGGAATAAGTTTCTCGTATGTGTTATCGATTTTTTGATATATATATAAATGAAAAATGAGGAAGAGGAAACTGGCATGGACGTGTTTCTTGTGTTGCTCAAAAATTTGAAACTTCGAGATTCATTTGACGTTAATTCTTCGTCCATCAGTGCGGGATTGGAGAAAGTTTGGAGAGAAATCGATCGGCCTTTCGCACTGGCGCATCTGACTCATCCATCTTTCTGAAACCGTCATTAACGACGCTCCCTTTTGTGCGCTATCCGCGCGAGCAACTAAACGCGCGCAAAAGCGTATTGCGAGCCCTTCCGAGAATATAACACGATTAGGGAAGAGGCGTCTTTTATTGGACAGATATCTCGTCCTCACGAAAGCTTCTCCTTTTATTTCTATGCTCAGTTACCCCCCGAGGAACATAACGAGACAGGATAAGGACGAGGTCTAATCTGGTCTTTACGAAGTAGATCCTGGCCGACGCGGAATATACGGGCCTTTCGTGAATAATTCTTAGGACGTTGGACAATGCGTCAATGAAAAGCATTTGAATTCTTGAGTTTCTTGGAGTTAGAACAATCTAACCAGCAATAATATATTTTTTGCATTATTTTTATATGAATACAATACTTTTTAAGAATGTAATGCACGCTATTTATTTTTGACAATTGCAGTTTTTAAATTTTATTGAAGCGCATTGTATTCTTTATGGCTGGCAGTTCGGAATCTTGCACTTACATTTTTTCTAACTTGTTATTACAGTTGAATCTTTATTTTATTCTAATAGGAATTTATTTCGAAAGTTTGGCAACAAGAGGGAGAGTAATGTATCATGAAATTTTCCGAGTGAATTGTGGCGTAGATCGTCAACGATAATTCAGTGTGTTCCTTGCATAAATCACGCGACTCTTGCGGCGAGATTAGAATACGCTGGCTCGAACGATGAGGGCTTTACCAGGACAAATCGTGTCTCTCCGGAAAGCCTGCGTGTTGAAATACGAACAGTCTCTTGCGAGTAATCCTGTAGTTTTCCAAGATCGAGTTCGCTCGAATGTGAGCCATCTTGCAGCTTTCAAAGCCGTACAAGGCTCCCTCGGGAATTCTTCGAATAGCTGATGAAAGCCGTTCTATGTGGCACGATAATTTTTTGTGTAACTATGCGATATATCTGTACTTGTCGACACGATAAATCAATGACAGTTGTTTGCGCATTTTTTTTTTATCATGTCAATGCCAATTATAATATAATTATAATATTAAAGCAAACCATAGAATTGAATATTTAAGAAATATTTAATCCTTACAGCACTTCGTGTAAGGTTATAATTTTTTTATTATTAATTTAATATTTATTTAGAAAAAAGTGTTACATTTCTTGTAGGATAAAGAATGATTATATCAAATTACATTTAATTACATAGTGTTAATAAAAATGCCGTGTAAAATGTACATACTTTATTCTCAACGCTAATCAACGCAATCTGTCAAAACAATCTTTTAATCGTGCATAACATAGCGTGAGTTGAATAATTTATGCAAAAAGGCGGAGAAATGTTATCGCGGTTACGATCGGCATCTTTTGCACGAAAAAAGCATTTTCCAGTTTGCGTGGACCTCGTCGAGTCGTTTCGAGGACATTTATCGCAAAAGGGATCGAGGTGCTGCTCTATTCTGTACGAGCAATATCCTTTTGCGCGACACTAAAGAACGCGACGTTCACTCGAGCGACATCGAGATCACTCGATAACCCCTCGTTTTCCGAGCATCGGTCCCCGCAGGATTTCTCCGAGACGTTCCGTTTCTCACGCGGATCACAGTATCGCCATTCGCTTTTTTCGTATCTACCGGAGCTCTAGTAATTTAACTAACAATGAGAGGTCGGAAGAGCTAAAATAAAAAACAAAAAAAGAAAAGTTAGATCGAAAAAACATTGGAGAAAAAGTTTTAAGAGATAAGAATACATTTCTTTTTATAAAATTATATTTTATTTTTATATGCGTGCGTTACTTGATGCGTTTTCAATCTAGTATAATTTGCGTTTATAAAAAACATCTATATTGATGACGATGTAAAATAAAAAAATTATTAATCTATTTTTCTCCGACAGAAGAAATAGCAGAAGGAATATAAATGGAAAAATTATTTTTCTGTGTGCATACACACATGCATACACAACAAAATAAAAAAAAAACAACTATTTGAAAAATATTAAAGTAAAAGTTTTATGAAATCCTATACAGAATACTTCTGTTTTCTTAAAAGGTATAATTTAATTTTTGAATGGAATATTGAGTGGATAATTTAAAAAGAATATCGTTGAAGAATATAGAAACAATACAGTTGGTTAACTAAATCTCGAAATAAATGAGATTTCGATCTTTCTTGAAGTCCTATTCTGGAGAAATTGATCAATAAGCAAGTGCTACCTTTTCTCTGTATTTGATCCACTTAAGCTTATTTATATAGTAACGTACGAGCGGATGTAATTAAAGCGGTAGCTACCATAATTTTATCAAATTAATGTGAAATGTATGCGGCTCATTTCGAGCAGAAGTTCGTAGAGTTTGTGGGCGAAACACAAACATAAAATAGCGCAACAGTGCTAACAACTGAAAGGGCTCGCTATTCGCTTTCTCGTCTCATAGTAATTCGGGTTAACCAGGAACTTCGTACATAGATTAAGCAATACTCAAGCCAAACTTGGGTCAGCGGTAACATGTCGCGAATCTAGTTTCGTTGTGTCTCGTCTCGACGATAAAGCGGCGGTGCATGCAGAGTAGATTAATTAATTAACTAGTTGCAGCGGAAAGTTGTTACTCACTGAAAATTAAAATGTAATGAAAAATGCATCGGAAAAACCTTTTACATAGGCGGGAATTTAAATTTAATGCGTTGTGAAGAAAGTGATTATGTTAAAAGCGTGCTTAATTTCTGAACTGGCATCGTATTTTATACGCGATTAATCACTGCATTTTGGATGATGAACGACATTCAATCGAAGAAATAATTAATTGTAAATTAATTCCATTGGTTAAGACTGAGTGATGATGTATTTATGGACACGCTGCGCCGCTGTAGCTAATGTAGGTAAATGTGCCGTTGACGAAGCCAATGTCTCTTAATCATTTCTTCAACATGTCCAATATTGTACGAAGCTACTTAGCGAATAATTCCGTCGACGTCGCATTTATCTATGTCTTATCCCGCACAGCTCAGGCTTTTCAGCGATACGACGCATCCTAATTAATGTGTTCCACTTGAGAATCGGTGCCATTTTCAGCTTCGCAACTTCTCATCTTTTTTTTTCACAAGATGAATGGATCTGGAAGGATTCCGCACGTCATAGTTTTTCTTATTCCATTCTCTTCATCTAATGACTATTCTTGCCATTCTTCAGCAGTGCTCATCGTCAGCTCCGTGTGGATCTTTTTTTAAGCATCAGCATTAATTTACTTTAAGCTTCAACTTTTTCTTATCTCGATTCCCACAGCTTATTGAATCTGTCGTTTTGTTTTTTTTTTTTTTTTT